TTTGCAACCCAAAACGCCCAGGTTCCCACAGATGATTCCCCTAGACATCTTTGAGCTCATGGGGTTCTTCCTGCTTGTGACTCAAAGAGCAAACAAATGAGGGCTGGGCTGGTCCCCCAGCAAGGCTGTCTGGCCCCTCAGTGAAGGCAGCTTTTGTCTGCCTTCTTCCTGGCCCCCACTCACCTTCCGAGGGCCAGCTCACCACCTTCCTCAATGGCCCTCCTCAGGTTTCTTGCATTGTTTTCATTTTACAGTTCATGGCCCTGGGTCTCATCACCTTTTCTCCCAGAGGAGCTGGTTGCACAATGGACTTCTATTAGGACACTAGGGTCCATGGTGGGGGATGGTTCGAGTGAAAATTCAGCCCTAAAGGTCAGAACTTGGTCTGGGCAATGTCCCTCCATGACTTATAACCTCCATGCCCTTCCGTGGGAGGTGCTGACTCCGCAGCAGGCATCGAGCTGGGAGGTACATTTGTTTCCCCACGTTGTAACCCTCTCATAGCCCCCAGGAGATCAGGGTCACTGGCTCCATGCTGTGAGGAAACTGAGGCTCAAAGAAGGAAGCAACAAATACGTTCTAGAGATGGGTGGTGCAACATTGTGCCTCTGGTTAACAGTACTCTGCTGTGCACTTAAAGTGTGTTAAGAGGGTAGATTTCAGTTTAAGGGGTCTTAGCCCAATACAAACTTTTTAAAATTTTAAAAAGTAGAAAAAGAAGGAGGGAAGGTCCTTGCCCAGAATCACACAGCTGGCTATTGTCTGAGCCAGGTTGGGAACTCTGGCTGACTCTGCAGTCACTGGAAGGGCCCAAGAGAAGATGGGTGGTGCCTTCTGAGCAAAAGGCTGCCGGGCACACTTGTTCTCCAAGTAAGAACAGCACTGAAGCTGGACAACCCCCAGTGACCCTGGAAAGGTCACTGTCTTTCCTGAGCCTGTTACAGATGGTGAACATATCTAGTGGCTCACAAAGGTTATTATTATTATTACTAGTCACTCTTAAATGCAGGTGGGAAGATTAATCTCCAAGGCAAGGACAGCTTGCCCACAGCAGCTCCACTTAAGAGCACAGTTTTCTCACCAAAGTCGGGGTGCCTAGCTCGCTGGGAATCTTCCGGAGTTTCCAAGTCCATTCAAGGACGTTCTCAGACTCACTCCCCAACCTGACCTTTCTTCCAGGAAACAGATCCAGCGCTGCCATTCCCAAGTTCTGGAAAATAGACCTTGCGTAGGTCAGAGCCCTTTGAAAAATAAAATCAACTCTACCCTTTAAAAATGGACCCTTGATTCACAAAATGACATCAGTATAGGCTCTCAAATATCATCACAATCTGGTAAGTTGAAAGAAAGGGGCGCCACCTACCGTTTCTGTGGAACAGATGGAGATGGCATTGGCAGCCTTAAAATGTTAGCAGTGCTCACTTCCGCTTGTTTCCTGATGCCCGGAGACCCTCCCTGCTCAGGGAACATGCCGTTCCCATGGCCGTAAAGAAGGATAATTTCAGCAGAAGCAGAAAGAAGTGTCTTGGGTTTCTGATGAAACTGTCGTGCCATTTGAGAGTTGACAATACAGGGGAGGACAGAACCGTCTGAGTCCTGATTACTACAGCGGCTACATAAAACTGCACCTGGGTTAACATTCACGCATCCAGGCACCAAGAGGAAAAATTCATATTACTGTATGTTCATTGGTTCAATTTTTAAAATTTGAATTTTTGAATGTTAAAACTCAAGGCCACAGGAGATGTTGAACTTAACGTGCATGTAATGAAGTCAAAGCAAGGCATCCTGCCCCCAAGACTAGAAAAGTCCCCGTGTCGGGTTGATGGAGCATGAGAGTTGGAGAGACACTGAAGAGCTTGGGTCAGTCTGATTGTGTCTCGAGTGCTGGTCACTTCCCAGGCAAACTTGGTCAGGAGGGGTGTGGGGTTCAAGAACAGAGGGTGGTCTGGGCATGGGGGTCCATGCCTATAATGCTAGTACTCTGAGAGGATGGCTTGAGCTCAGGAGTTTGAGACCAGCCTGAGGGAGACCCCATCTCTACTAATATGAAAATTAGCCAGTTTTGGTGGTGCACACCTATAGTCCCACCTACTTGGGAGGCTGAGGCCAGAGGATCACTTGAGCCCAGGGATTTGAGGTTGCTATGAACTATGATCACACCACTGCACCCTAACCTGGGAGACAGAGTAAGACCAGGTCTCAAACAAAATAAAAAACTCAGAAAGTGCCCACGTTCCCTCCCAGAGCGGGAAGGACAGAAGACCCCAGAGGGAGAGGATTAACAGAGCACATGGGCTTGGGCAGCCCCCATATTCCTATCTGAGATCTACGGAATCAACAAAAAGCAGAACTATTCTGTGTGTCTAAGGAAGGGTTGAAAGTAAGCGTTAAATCCCAACCAACCTTTCAGATGGTGGGGGTTGGGGCCCCCAGCATCGGACACTAGGGGTGGGGGTGATGGTATGGCATGTCTCTGTATTGACAGTCAAAAACAGGGACAGTGAAGCCTCTTTAGCACAAATGAAGCCCCTGGAACAAAATAAAACCCCAGAGGAAATAAGGAAGTTTCCGTTACTGAAAAGTGGCATTGGAAAAGGTAATTAAACTACGGTAGGACCTCCATGGTTGACTGCCTCCTTTAGTTGACCTAATTTTCATAGACTGGACATGCGCCACACGTTCATATCAGTACAGGAGGCCTAGGTGTGGCACCTGTAATACAGTGGTTACGGCGCCATATCGGTACAGGAGGCCTAGGTGTGGCACCTGTAATACAGTGGTTACGGCGCCAGCCACATACCTCAAGGCTGGAGGGTGCGAGCCTGGCCCCGGCCAGCTAAACAACAATCACAACTGCAACAAGAACAAAAAAATAGCCGGCTATTGTGGCAGGAACCTGTGGTCCCAGTTACTTGGGAGGCTGAGGCAAGAGAATTGCTTAAACGCAAGAGTTGGAGGTTGCTGTGAGCTGTGATGCCACAGCACTCTACCGAAGGCAACGTAAGAGACTCTGTCTTAAAAAAAAAAAAAGAAAAAGTGCAAAAGAGTTCATAGAATTCCTCATCAAGATCTGAAGGAAAAAAAAAATACAGGAGACCTAGTTCCTTAAGTTGACCGCTTTCATATGTCGACCAGTTTGTTACAGTCCCTTGGGTGGTCAACTTACAGAAGTTCTACTCCATAGATAAATCAGAAAGAAAATTCTGTCTGTGGACACCTGAGTTTATGAACTAAGATTCATACCAGCTCCCAAACATCATCTCCCCATAGCTCTGTGAAGTAGATATTACCCTCCCCATGGGGAAACTGAGGTTCAGGGGGCTGGAGTGACTTGCCCTGAGCCACAGGATTGGAACCAGGACTCTCTGAGCCCAGATCCACCCACTTCCTGCTGCAACACATCCGAAGCATCCTGGTTTCAAACCCAAGGCTGTGAGCTCCTCATTATCTGCCAACACAAACGGGACTCCATTTCTTGCCTTATCTGCCTCAGTTTCCCCAAAAGGGGACACAACCCACAAAAGTTATATGAAGATAAAAAACAATGGGACCACTTCGAGGATGGCTGTCACATACAAGATGTGGGAAGATTCGAGCGAGTGCCTTGAATGGATCACTGAGCTCAAAGCCATGTCCTGGGCCCCTTGGAGGTGCTGTCTGGGCTCACTGGCAGTGGAGCGGCCCTGCCAGGCCTGCTGTGAGGGGTAGGCGGTGAGGCTCACACTAATTACCAGGGAGTCAAACAGACATTGGGGCTGGGGGCAAAGTGATCCCCACACCCACTCGCTGTGTGTCCCTGGGAAGCGGTTTCCCTTTCTGATCCTTAGTCCCCCTCATGTAACATGTGAGTGACCACACCAACCACTCCTGACCAAGATGAGGTTCAAATATGAACAACCCCTGGCCCGTGGCAAATGCTTAATCAATGTGCATTTCTTCCTTCTCTTCTCACTTTGGCAAGAGCTGCTCTCCCTGGTCCAAGACCTCAGCCTTACTGTACCTCCATTTTTCATCCGTTAAATGGACTCCAAAGACCCATTGGTGGGGCCAAACACCTCATTACTTCCCTTGGGAAGGGTAGAAGGAGGGTAAGGGTGAGACCAGGATGCAGCACAATCCCTCAAGCCTAGAGACATAGAAAGACTCCTCCAGGGTATAAAAGTGGGAAGCTCAAAAGTGTGGGATACACAGATGTGGAAAAGCACAATGGCATTTTGTATCTCGGCACAGTGACTAGGGGAAAGGATCGGAGAGTGTATGTCTCACCCCAGCCAGTGGCGCATCTCTGGACATGGCACCTCACACTCTGAGCCTCAGTTTCCCCTTTGTAAAACAAAAGCAAGACGTGAGGATTTGTGAGATGCCACATGGGAAAAGCAGCACAGGCCTGGCATGCAGCAGGAGCTCAGCAAGTGTCAGCTGCCAACCTTGTCTTCACTGTGACCTCATCCAAAGAGCTGTGTTCTAACTCTGTCCCATCCTCCCTTGCAATGGAGGGGCAGTTAGTCCCCCTCCCCCAGGGTTTGCCCTGTCACATGACCCTAATGTGGTAGGAGCCACCCTGGACTTGCGGACACACTAGACCTCAGGAAGTTCAATGCATTTTGACCCTTCTGACACTTTGGGAGAAAAAGAACTGAACCAGCAGAGGAAGGGAGCCGTGAGATGAGACAGAGGTCCCTTCCTCGCTGCCTCTTCGAATCTTCCAAACATAGTCTCCCAAGTCACCTGGGAGCATTGGTCCCCAACCTCAGGTCAACTCATGAAATCATAAAAGTCTTGAGTAATACCCTATCTCAAGTTTTTCTCTGTTTAACTTGTCAACCAAATAGCTTAACTGTCCCACCTGCTAATATGATCAGCAATTATTTACTTTGGAGAGCCCTGAAAGACATCACCACATTGCAGAATCCTGAATTATCTAGAAACCCATCATCCAATCATACGTTTCCTGATTCCCAGACTATAAAAGGGGCTGCCTCCTTGGCAGAAGTGAGTAGGAGACAGAGGAGACCCAGACAGCTGCCGAGACCTCTGAGAGAAACCCAGGTGAGACCTGCCCGTCCCACAGCCCCTCTGCTACCCTTGGTGGCAGAGGTGGCAGGCTTCTCACTGTGTGGGAAGTCACCTACACTGACTGGCTACACTTAGGATCACTCTCTGGGGGCCTTGCAAAAGAAACAGGACCAATGTCGGGGCTGTGGGGATGGCCATTCACTCTGCTTTCCTACAAGGCCAGTAGCACCAATATAGAAATGTGTGCTGCTCGTACCCTAAATAAAAATGGCTAAGCAAGAGTTGTAACTGAAGGTTACCAACATGGATAACCACAAACCTAAAACTAATGTATTTTGATGCGTTTTTCTGGGACTAGGGTCTTTAGCTTCATAGCATTCATAAAGTGTCTGTTGCCCAGAAGAGATTCAGGGGCTCTGGTCTAAGTTACCCTAGGGAGGACACAACTTGCTCTTTGAACCAAAAAAGACCTTTCAATTCCAGCCAGCCACCACTAGGAAGGGGCTGTGGCTGAGTCCACCAGTTGATGGATCATGCCCAAAGCAGCCAGTTGTCTCCAAAGGGTAGATCCTAGCTCTGGCTTTGGACATTCAGGCCACATAGACCCATGAGAGGATTAGTGGCATCTGGGAAGCATCTGGTTCAAAAGGCAGCCAGACCGCAGGGGTTACCCCAGGATTCCACCCAGGGCGGATTGAGAGAGAAGAGAAAGGTGTAGACAAGTTAGAATATATGTTTGAGTCTTAGGTAAGCTGCCTCCAGCTACAGGTCTCCATCGTTTGTTATATGACCTTGGGAAAGTCACTACTCCTCTCAGCTCCCCTGGTTCTCTGTGTGCAGAGAGGACTTCAGATGGCCCCAGGGTTTCCCAACTCAGGTTTGCCTAAGGTGTCCAGATACCATCATGGCCTGAACCCAGGCCAGAGGACTTAGAAGGATGGTGGCAAAGGATTCAGGTCATCAGGCATAAGCCCAGCCGGAGAGTAAATCTGATGGTCACTTAATTTAACAGAGGCCTCTGGTTCACACAGCTCTGGCTTCTAATCCTCTCTCCATTGCATACTTGTGGCCCTGGGGGAAGTCACCTATACTCACAGGCTCTCCGTTGCCTCACCTGTGCAATGCAGGAGATAAGTTCCCATGTCTTAGAGCTGTGATGAAGATGAAATCGGCTCCCAAGTCCAAAGCTGTCAGCCGACTGCCTGACAGAAGTTGCTCAGCAGAGTTAGCTGTTACTAGTCACCTCTCAGTGTTCTGGGGAGTAGAAACCCACCTCCCAAGGGCCAAGGACAGGTGGCAGATAAAGTCCCTTGTGACATTGTGCCAACCTGGACCCATCATTCTGTCCACAGATACCAAGAGAGAAGATGTATCTAATGGGAGGCTTCCTGGTCTTCTGTGGGCTGTTGGCCCAGACTATGGGCCAGCTTGGAGCCCTGCCCTTGCCCCTGGGCCAGGCCCTGCCCTTACCCCTGGACCAGGCCCTGCCCTTACCCCTGGGCCAGGCCCTGCCCTTACCCCTGGACCAGACTCTGCTCTCAAGTCCCATGGATCTCGCTGGAGGCTTAACAAGTGGTGAGTGAGTCTGTGGCAGCCTCTTCCAGGAGAGTGTGTGAATCTACAACAGCCTCTTCCAGGAGAGAGAGAGAGAATCTGCATGTATCTGTGTACGCACCCAACTGTGCAATGCGGGGAGGGCAGGGATAAATAGGGAAGAGGGTCTGAGCTTCTGGAATTGCCAGATCTGACCCCTAGAGACCTGATACCCATTTCCAGCCCTCAGCAGTGGCCTGCTCTCTGGGAATCTGTTGGGCATTCTGGAAAGTCTTCCACTCTTGAACATCCTGAAGGCTGGAGGAGGCACTTCCAGTAACCTGCTTGGGGGCCTGCTTGGAAAAGTGACTTCAGTGATCCCTGGCCTGAACAACATCATTGAGTGAGTTACCATAAAATAGGTACTTGGGCCCCACCAGGGAAGCCCAGCAGAAGATCTGTGCACCCCAGGCAGCAGCTCTGAAGGCAGGGGGGTGGGGGTACCCTGAGGTGGAGCCAGCACTCAGTCCTGAGCCCCAGCTCCAAGCTGGCGGGGGACCCCAGCCCTCTTGCACAAGTAACTGCCCCAGTCCTGAGCAGGTCCTGGGGCCCCAGCATCATCCTAAATCCTCAACAGAGTTTACAAATGGGAAAACTGAGGTACAGGGAGACGCCTGTGCTCATACAGCCACAGCAACAGGACTCTTAATCAAACTCACCAAGTCCAAAACCAAGGCTTCCCCACTGAACTATGGTTACTTTGTTCTCCCCACTTGTGGAGTCCCTTAGAGTGAACAGCCTTGAATGTAAGCAAGAGCCTGACTTGCCCTCAGCTATATCATCCATGTGACTGAGAGCAATGAGCTGTCCATGGAAAGATCTAGCATGGGGTTTCCCATGAGACACTGGAGAGCTCTCAGAGCAAGAAGCTATAATGGAAAGCTTGATGCCCACAGGCTGGCAAATCCTGAGTCCCTGTGAGGGCTGGAGCAAAGCCATTTCCAAGATTCCTACCCCCACAGGCACTCACTCCCTGACTTAGAGACAGGCACATTTCTTGAGCTTGACTTCCAAATGTACCATGTACCTGCTGGATGACCTGGGACAAGACATTCTGTTTCTCTGTGATGGTTTCTCCATCTGTAAAAAGGCTACTCTGGTACCCACAGGGAAAGACTATTGGGAAGACTGGAAAAGTGTACCTCCCTGGTTGGCTGAGAGAGGAGGCTTACCCCCACCCTTTCTGTGTTCTCCTCAACTTCCTGCTCCTCTATCTCCATGACAACATTAGTGACTGGCCTGCCACTGAAGACCATGGCAGGATGAACAATTCCTACCCATGAAGCCCAGGGTTTTCTCCAGTTACCCATACATCATCCATCCATCCATTGACCAATCCACCCATCCACTCATCCACCCTTCCTTTCATCTAACCACCTACTCTTCCATCCATTCACCCATATACCCATCCACCCACCCTCCCATCAATCTACAAAGTCAACCAAGAGGTAGTGGCCACTTTCTTTGTAAGGCTCTGAGCTGGTATAGAGGGTGCAAATATAATCCAGACACAGACTGTATCCTGGAACACCCCAGACCAGAGGGGAGGAAAGGGTGATGTGTGTCAGATCTGGTTCAGGGCAGAGACTAGTGTGTGATTTGGAATCCATGTGTCTTTGGCTGCAATGCACACCTCCTCTCTCCCCCATCCCAAGTGGAGAGCTCTACCTCTGGGATGAGTGAGGTTGGGTTAAAGATGGTTTCTGGGTCCAAGGCCAGAGGAGCTAATGTTTCTCCCTCAATGTCACCTTCTGGACAGTATAAAGATCACTGATCCCCAGCTTCTGGAACTTGGCCTTGTGCAGAGCCCCGATGGCCATCGTCTCTATGTCACCATTCCTCTCGGCCTGAAACTCCAAGTGAAAACGTGAGTGGATCCCGAAGCAGGAGGGAGTATGGCTCACCAAGAGAAATCCTGGTGACCGTGGGGACCCAAAATGGGAGCGTTGGAGTCGGAGAGACCTGAGCCTGCAGCTCATCTGCTGCTATGTTGAGCAACCTTGGTTTACTTGGGAAACTCACTTGACCTCTGTGAGCCTTGGTTTCTCCTGCCGGAAAATGAGATAAGAATAACCAGGCAACATGGACTAAGGTGAATCTGGCATGCCTAACAAGGAGAAAAATCCCCTCTGCCCTCTGGAATAGGGGAGAGCAAACACCAGTAGGGCCATTTCCTCTTCAGGCCCCTGGTCGGAAGTCTGTTGGAGCTGGCTGTGAAGCTAAACATCACTGCAGAAATCTTAGCTGTGAGAGATGAGCATGGGAAGGTCCACCTGGTCCTTGGCGACTGCACCCACTCTCCTGGCAGCCTGCAAATCTCCCTGCTTAACGGGTAAGGCCAGAGAGGTGGCTTTTCCTGCCCACAGACAGCAGGGTGGATGATGGATGGATGGCTGGAAAGATGGGACGGGGGAGAATGAATGAGTGAGAGGATGGAAGAGTGGGAAGATGAGAGGGAGGAAGAACCTATGGATGAACCCAGGGATGAACAGATGGATTGATGAACAGCTAGACGTAAGGATAGATAAGTGGATGGGCAAATAGTCACTTATCCCTTCTTAGGCCAGGCTGACAAATTTTAGGGTAGATTTGGCAACAAGAAATCTGACTTTGGCTGGGCGCCCAAAGCACAGTGGTTACAGCGCCAGCCACATACACCAAAGCTGGCAGGTTCGAACCCAGCCTGGGCCAGCTAAACAACAATGACAAATGCAACAAAAAATAGCTGGGCGTTGTGGCAGGCACCTGTAGTCCCAGCTACTTGGGAGGCTGAGGCATGAGAATCACTTGAGCCCAAGAATTTGAGGTTGCTATGAGCTGTGATGCTACAGCACTCTACCGAGGGCGACATAGTAAGACTCTATCTCAAAACAAAAAAAGAAAGAAAGAAAGAAAAGAAAAAGAAAAAACCAAAAAAGGAAATCTGACTTTAAGCCCCTCTTAGGACAAGGGAATGGGGAGAGACAATGGGCTTCCTGTGTGAACTTGAGAAGAGCTTCTCCAGTTTGGGTCTCAGCTTCCTTACCTGCAATATGCAACTATGTAGGCAAAAAGCCTTTAAACAGATTAATTCTGGGAGCCTAAGTCTGAAGTCTTGGAGAGCTGTGAAGGAAAAAAGCCTGGATAGAACTCCATAGTGGCTCGTAACCTAGTCATGTAGGAGGCAGCGCCTGCAGGCAGGGGTCTGTATATCTCAGGAATTTCCTGACTCCTCCCTAGGAATGGATGGCTGCCTCCAGATGGTCTGTTAAAGGTTAAGCATTGTATCTGCTTTCTCCTCCGGACTTCTGTTTTGCGGTTTATGGATAGAATCCACTGAGATAATAAGTGTGAAAGGGGTAAGGTAGATATGGAGCCTAACTAGGTTGCTTATTTCAGTTCCCCACTGCACGAGCAGACTGCACCTTACCTCCTATGCAGTATTGGTCCACATCTCAGCTGATGTTTACTGAACACGTACATCATGCTGCACATGTGTCATCTCGCTGTATCCTCATGACAACTATATACTACGTTCTTCCATTTCTGGACTCTACCAGTCTCGTTGACACAGCTGTGCCCCCAGCTGTGTGTTTATTCTACGCGTACCTGTGTGTGCTGCTGCGTAGAGTGTATCTGCCTTTGCATAGGCCCTTGCTGTTTGCCTGCACACAGGTGTGGATGGACAACCCCTGGTTTCAGTTACTGAGTGTGGAGACTGTGGGATGCACAGTGGCCCACCTGAAACTCCAAACCAACCCCATGCCTCTGCATCACCCCCACGACCTTTCTCTTTCAGACTTGGCTCCCTCCCCATTCAAGGCCTTATCGACAGCATCACAGGGGTCTACAATAAAGTCCTTCCTGAGCTGGTGCAAGGCAAGGTAAGTGAGCAAAAGAGGGGGTTCCCCTTATCCTGGGGTCTTAGAGCTTCTCATGCTGAAAGAGAGCCCTGGAACCAGCAGGTCAGAGCCCCCAGTTTGATGACTAAATTCCATCCATCAATATATCCATCTATCTGTCCGTGTTTCTTCTTTCCATCCTTCCAAACGCATCAGTTGGTTTCTGCTCTGCGCCAGGCCCTGGACCTCACCACACTGGAGCTGAAATGAATCAGCCCTTCCCTGAGACATTCCCTGTCCAGCCATCTATGGCCACAAACAGTTCTCCAGTCTGTGCTTGTTGCCTCCTAGAAGCAGACATGCCACCCTATTTAGAATCAGAGGTGGTGCTACAGAGTGAATCTGGGCTTGATGCGTGATTTGGGGCACTACACCGCACCCCTCATGCCTCCAGTTTCTCCTTCTGCCTAGAATCAAACACTGTCAAACACAGAAAATCTCCCCAGAAGACTCTCTCCTGGGGCTGCTCCTGCTCCCAGGGTCTCGCAGTTTGTCTGACTCCCCTCTCCGCCCTGGGTCAGGTGTGCCCTCTGGTCAATGGGGTTCTCAGCCAGTTGGACGTCACCCTGGTGCATGACACTGCTGGTAAGTAATGATTTCCAAGCCCTCTCTTCCCCTCTTGAGGAGCAGTGATTTCTCCCAAGGATTTTTATCCCTGCACACCACAGAATAGCTATGACTCTCTGGTCTCACTCTCCCTTTTGGAGTTTCTTTTCCCCCCTGAATTATCCAGATAATTTTAAGGTAGTTACCCCCATTCCCCCTCAGCACTGACACTGAGAAAAGCTGGGCTGGTTGGTAGGAGGAGGCCTGGCCCCCTCCAAGCCCCACCTGGGAATGGCTGGGTCTCCAGAGCTCCCATTCCCTGGCCCCCATCTCAGGGAACATGAGGTCTCCCTGGACACCTTTATATCAAGATCACAATGCTAGTCTATTTTTTTATTTCCCAGACCTGCTGATCCATGGACTAGAATTTGTCGTCAAAGCCTAAGCCTTCTGGGAAGGGACCTGGCCTCTGCTGAGCTGGTGAGTGCTGCTCTCTAGGGTGTGGGGACTAGTTCTCCTCCTGGTGAAAGGCAGCAGGGGGCTTGGGACAATGACATCCAAAGAAAGAGACCAATATTCGCAGAGAGACACACAGGGATGCCCAGAGAAGTCCACAGAAAGGCTGATGGAGGTGGTGGAGAGATGCAAGTGGACCAGCACACAGCTACAAAGGGAAACACACAAGGTCATGAATACACACACACACACACAAATGCCTGGACAAACACATGGTCACTGACCCAGAAGGACATGCTCTCACACCAGCACACTCATAAGTGTGCTCATGGATGCAGACTCATCACACATGTGCACACATAAATACACAGACACTCACTCATATACGTGCACAAGGAGCTCCCTGACCTGTCCTTGTAGCTGATACCAGTCCCCCAGCCTAGGGTCCTAGCGTCCCCCCATCACCTGGAGGGCAGGCTTGATGATAGCCAATACCAGTAAGAGTACAAGACCAAGACTGGGGCCTTCCCCCAGTAGAACCGTTCCTTGCTCCTCACTCATTCCCTCCTACCTAGCTCCCCGTGCTCCCAGGAGGCTGGCCCTTGTGCTGGAAGATGACTTGGCTGCCTGCTCCCCGAGGAACCTGCTCCCCACCCTTCCCACCAAGCATAAGTACCGTCCTGTGTCCCTCACTTAATAAAATGGCTCTCCTTCTGCACTGGGGGCTTTGTCATTCTTCGCTATCACTTGAGCGCTCCTAGGTTAGAAAGAGCCCTGGCCTGGGTGGTGGGGACCATAGATCAGAGTTTGGACCCTGCATTGTAAATCCTAATGGTCTTGAGCAGGTCTTGGAGATGTTCAGATGAGTGCAGATTTTAGAATGTTTGCCCGGGGAGCCTCATGCTGGGAAGGGAGGGATGACAGGGAGGTTGGGGGTAGATGTCATGCTCCAAGCACAGATGATGACACAGAAGGTTGTCACCCCCAGAGTAGAGATGGCAGATTTGAGAGATGTTCAGTAGGTGGACCCAGAAGTGTAGGGGTAAGGGGGTGAGTGAGGCTCCCAGCCAGCTCTTCAGGTTGGGAAGCCCAAGGGCATTGGGATTTGGGGAGGATGAATTGATTTTAGCAAGATTATGCTCTTAGTTGTGGCCACTGTGCGGAAATGGCTGGGGGCCTGAATGAGATGTGCAGGAAGCTGATGGATACCTGAATCACCACCACCTCCCTTTCACTGACTCAGCCAGTCAGACTGATATCTTTTTGGTTCTCTAAGCAAAACAAGGACAAAAATGGCCAGGAAGAAGTGCAGAAAAAAACTGGAGCTGAGTGTGAACGGCTAAAGGGCTTGAGAAATGTAGGCAGAGAGAAAAGGTCAGTAGAGGTCTGAAGATTCCTGATGCCCTGGATGAGACTTGTGTATTTTGGATGAAGAACCCTGATTTTAAGAACCAAGAAGAGGAGGGGAGAGGAGGAAATTGAGACTGCATATGCAGATAAGATCTATGAAAGGTTAGGTACAAGAAAGAAGAAGAATGGGGATACCCAAGCTGGGGGACATGGACTCTCGAATAAAAAATACAGATGTTCTCATAGCTGAGGTCCTCCAGTACTAGACCAACCTTTCATTCCATAGACAAAGAGACAGAGGCCTTGAGGGAGTGTGAATGACTCACCTAAAGCCACAAAGAGACAAAAAGGCCGGTCAAGGACATCTCACTTCGAAGAGAAACCTTGCCCCTTGCTCTTTAGGAAACCCCTTTGACCTTGTGAGAATGAGCAGATTCAGCATAGTGTATCTAAACTCTTTCTGATTCAAAGGACAACAAATCAGGCAGGCACCCATTTCCCAACCCCATTAAACATGTCACCCAGTCCAGACCCACCCCGTGTGCACCTGATGTTGCCTCCCATCAGTGGGACGTTGTAGGAGGACGATCCCTTAGTTTGGGACTGCAAGGCTTATTGCAAGAAATCAGTGTGTGTTTTCAGGGAGAATTAGGGCAAGAAGCTTCTTCCACATTCACAAAAGGTCTTTGAGCTTGGGATGAGTAATTAAATCCCAGCAAGCTGCTGAATGAGCATTGGGAATGTCTACCTAGCCAGAAGGACCGTCTAGGATCCAGGCCCCAGTTACCTGCAGGTCCTCTGTGGGTCAGCACTGAGAGTCTCCCTTGGCTGAGGCCCCTACAACCTGGGACCATCAGCTCTAGGCCCATTGCCCTCTGGCCATGGTCCTCTGCCTCATGCCCATCTGCTTCCCATCTCCTGATACTGTTCCTTCCCTCAACTGTTCCCCTGGGCTTCTCCCTATACCCCACAGATGGGTGTCCTCCTACCTAACAGTTTTAATTCCTAACTAGCTTATGTAAGATTCTCCCATGCAAAACATTCTTCTAGGTAACCAGGCTAAACACAACACGGCTATACCTTTTAAACAGTGATATCTTCACATTTTAAAAACACTCTGGAATAATGTTTGTGAAAACGGTAAATACCTCTTAAGATGCTCTCCCACGTAAAAAGCAATGAAAAATGTACAAAATTATCAAAACTAACATTTTCAGAGCTCTGGAAATTAACCAATGGTTTGCAGCAATCTGGAGAGTGTTTATTCAATGAAAATTGCATAATCTCAGTAAGAATAGAAAGCTTTGTATCATTTTAATTTAGCTTCATTCCATGTGCCACTCTCCACCTCCATAAGTGACTTGAAAACCAAAAGTTTGGCTCAGCACCTATAGCTCAACTGGCTAAGGCGCCAGCCACGTACACCTAACATGGCGGGTTCGAATCCCCAGCCCGGACCCACCAAACAACAATGACGGCTGCAACCAAAAAATAGCCGGGTGTTGTGGCGGGCGCCTGTGGTCCCAGCTACTTCGGAGGCGGAGGCAGGAGACTCGCTTGAGCCCAGGAGTTGGAGGTTGCTGTGAGCTGTAATGCCAGGGCACTCTACCCAGGGGGACAGCTTGAGGCTCTGTCTCAAAAAAAAAAAAAAAAAACAAAAGTCCACAATCTCGATAAGCCAGCAGCCCCTGGAAGGGGCAGAAGGGAGTTAATACCAAAGCCTCATTTCCAGAGAACTGTTATCTTTTTACCTGCCCCTTGGTTTCCCTGGAAAACTCACTCTCAAGGCTGTCTTTATTTGCCCTAACTCAGAGTTTACCTAGTATGAACAGGCTTTTCACCAAGGCCACTTGTCAAAAATAATCAGAAGCAGCTACTTACCATCACAGCTTCCTGAGTTAGTGGTAACATTTGGGACAAAGAATAAATTAGCCAAAAAGCTGACCTAGAAAATCTGGGGAATAAAATATCGTTGTGGGCTTTGAAAATCTCCAAAACACTTCTGGAATTTTAGAAGGCCATGTGCATACATGGAGCTCTGTTTATGCTCAGGCAGGGCCTATGAAGGCCCTACGCTCTCACTGGCTGACCTTAGACTCTGTGCAAGCAGGGAGCAAAGACCAAGGCAGAGTTGCACTAAGCAAAAATTATGGGAGCCCATTGTTTTAAACTGAGCTCCTGTACTAGGCCCAACAGACTAGAAGAAACCAGAGTGGAGTACCTCTAGGTGCCACAAAATCAAATTGAAATTTAGAGCAGGCAAGTTTTCTAAAACAGTAAGATATTCATGGCAACCAATCAGAAGGTGCCCAGTTTACTTGAGCTGGCATAAGGAAGCCCCCTCTGCTTAACCCTATAAGGAAAGTAACCTTGAAATGATCAGTCTGCTTTTTGTTCTGCATTTCTGTTTCTTTCGCTTTTTTCTGCCTATAAATCCTACCTCTGCTGAGCTCATTGGAGCACCTTTTCTGTCTAGGTGCCAGGCTGACCGATTCATGAATCACTAACTAAAGCACTTAGGCTATATGACTGTGTTTGAGGTGAGTCTCATACATGGGGAATTAGGTACCTGTGGATCTGAACCCACACTGAGGGTGTCACTAACCCATCAGAACAATTTGTGGCCATTGGGCGACCCCTGAGATTGATAACAGGCCACATGTGGACTATTGGTGCCTGGGGAGAAATGCTCCAAATACTCGGCAATGCTTTGAATCCCCACCTGCTGCGGCTACTGATCTTCACCAGGGTGTTACCCATCTAGGCTCTGATGGAATAAAAAGGAGAGAGGTTTGTTTCCCTACCTTCTGCCCAATTCCCATACTTTGTGGTTGGAGGCATTTCTGCCTATGACTTGGGGTGCCGGCTATCCAGTTATTGCAACCCAACTTGTCTACCCCCGTCCCAAGGCTGCTCCCTCTGTGGGCACACATTGCCCTTGCTGCTTGACTTTTAGCCTCAGTTGTTCAGTCTAGGAAGGGAGGGCAAGCACGGCACAAATTTGGCTTGTCTAATAACATTGCCCTCCTGAATGGAAGGATCAGATGTTCCTGGAGCCATTACAGGGAACTTAACATCCTTGTACTCTTTGGCCTCATCCCCCAACCCCCTATCCACCTCTGCCCCCATCAAGCTCAGTATTTCCCAGAACTGGGGATCAAATTGCAACATAAGATTTGGTGGGCACAAACCAACCATTTCCAGATAAGATCAGGCACGTTCAGGGTGGTATGACCATAGACCAAACCATTTCCAAATCATAGCAGGGGACTTTCATGTCTAGCCTGTTATTGCTACCTGTTGGGCACAAGCTTGATTGACATAAAGTCCCATTCATATTCCGTTTTATTTTATTTTATTTTATTGAGACAGAGCCTCAAGCTGTCACCCGAGATAGAGTGCCATGGCATCACATCTCATGGCAACCTCTAACTCCTGAGCTTAAGCGATTCTCTTGCCTCAGCCTCCCAAGTAGCTGAGAGTACAGGCACCCACCACAACGCCTGGCTATTTTTCGGTTGTAGTTGTCGTTGTTTTGGCAAGCCCGGGCTGGATTCGAACTGGCCAGCTCTAACATATGTGGCTGGCGCCTTAGCCATTTGAGCTACAGGCATCTCATATTCCATTTTTTTCTTTTCT